AAGACGTTTGCGAAGAGACTCATCTGGGGGTACATAGACCCGATCCTGGTATAGGAGGAGGTCGTCATCGATGGACCAGTCTGTTCCAGTGCGTGGTGTTCCTCCAGTGCGCGCCGCAGTGAGGCCTTCCCTCATTATTGGGTCGTCTTTAAAGGAAAGGATGGTGTCGCGGGTGTCGATGTCGATGGCAGCGACCCATACTTCCGGTGGGAGCATAACGACGTCAGTGTTGTCATTAGAGCCGTCGTCATGGTCGGGTCGGCGGGAGAGAGCGTCGCTCTGGACCATTTGGGTACCAGGAACGTGTACCAGGCGGAAGTCAAACTCGGTCAGTTTACTCGCCCAGCGTGCTTGTCGTCGGTTCATGTCTTTGGCTTGTTTCCAATATGTGAGGTTCTTGTGGTCGCTGAGAATCGTTACTGGGTATGGGCTGCCGATGAGGTAGTGCTTCCACTCATCTAGTGCACGGATGACCGCATATAACTCCCTGTCGTAGATGTTGTAGTTTCTCTCTGCTGCATTGAAGCTTTGAGAGAGGTATCCGCAAGGATGCCAGTTGCCGTTGTCGTCGCGCTGGCGTAGTACTGCTCCGGTTGCAAACTTGGAGGCGTCTGTTTCGATAGCGAAGGGTCGGTCGGGATCCGGCATGTGTAGTACCGGTTCTTCTAGGAATGCCTTTTTGAGGGTCTCGAAGGCTTTCTGTTGGTCAGATCCCCAGGTCCAGGCGACGTCCTTCCGGGTGAGAGCAACCAGCGGTTGCACTTTGTCTGAGAATCCTTTGATAAACCGGCGGTAAAAGTTTCCAAATCCAACGAAGGCGCGTACTTGCCTGAGGTTGGACGGTACTGGCCAATCTGCAATGCCGGCTAGTTTGACGGGGTCCATTGCGATTTCTCCTGGGCAGATAATCATGCCGAGGAATTCGACTTCGGTGACGTCGAAGGCACATTTCTCCAGTTTGAGGTAGAGGTCGTGTTGTCGAAGTCGTTTGATGACATGCTGTGTTCGTTCTTCGTGTTCTGCCTTGTCCTGGGAGAAGATCAGGATGTCGTCCATGTAAATGCAGAGCCAGCCTTCTTGAAGCATGTCTGCAAATATTGTGTTCATCATTCGCTAGAACGTAGCAGGGGAATTACACAGCCCAAAGAACATCACCATTGGTTCATACAACTGCGGCGGTTTGCCATCAGTTCCGGGTACAATGAATGCTGCCTTCCATTCGTCCCCTTTCTTGATTCGGACATTGTTGTATCCGGCGCGGAGGTCCATCTTCGTGAACACCTTGGCGTGCTTCAACTTGTCGAGGAGGTCTGATATAAGTGGGAGCGGGTATCGATCCTTGACCGTGTTCTCGTTGAGCAGCCGGTAGTCTTGACAGGGACGTAGTGAACCGTCCTTTTTACCAACAAAGAAGAATGGACTTGCCAATGGGGATTTCGAAGGGCGAATGTACCCTTTACTCAGGTTCTCCTCGAGGAACTTGTCGAGTTCCTTTCGTTGCTGCGGGTTGAGCGGATAGACCTGTTGCTTCATGTCTGCAAAGCCCTCCTTGCGGTTGATTTCATGGTCATATTCGGTGTGGTCGGGAAGTCGCGCAGCAGTGCCTTTGTCGAAGACGGGGAGGAGATTGTGTAAGTAGGATGGTACCATCTGTGGTAGCGTTTTTTCTGTCTTGCCTTGGGCGTTCGATGCTGCAAGTTCGGTGGAAGTGGTGACGCGCCTAATGTCGTGGTGGATCTTCCAGATCATGCCGTTGTGAAGTCATTTGTAGCCAGATGAAAGTTCAGGGAGTCGCTCCTTGAGCGGAACATCCCTCACTGCCAGGGGTTCCTGTTTCTCGTACTTGGTGATCATCGGCGCTCCAGATAAGTAGAAAATGATGAACTCATCATCATCGATGTCCTCCGCTTGTTCCTCGATGGACGCAATACCCGTTGACCCAAACCCATCCTCCCCGCATTCTGTTTCGTCGATGCAGTCGGTTAGCGTTACTGGTGGGGTGCTTATCCTTTCAAGGATGAGCTGGGCAACTCGGTCGCCGGCTTTGACGGTGAATGGGGAGGTCAGAGTTATTGACCAGCAGGACTGAGACCTTGCCTCGGTAATCAGAGTTGATTACTCCTGCAGCGACGTCAATTTCTTTTAGCGCTAGACCGGACCGAGGTGCGATTCTTCCGTAATGTCCTTTGGGGATAGCCATGATAAGGTCAGTGCCGACCAGGCCTCGTCGTTGGGCGGGGATGATGAGGTGGTGCACAGCAGAGATATTGTCATGAGTTGGCATATGATCAGCATATATACCTCTGGTCAGATGTCAAGCCAAGCTTGACATTGCACCCTTTTGGTGTAGAGGTTATGATGTGAGACCGGCGCATGCATGTAAATCCTTACAGATATTGTATCCTGCTGCACCACTAGTTTTCTGTTCAGGAAGGGTTGCGTGCTCTGAGGTGGGGATGACGACGAATTCGTCCTCCTCTGGTTCTGGAAGTGGGGTAGTTACGGCCTTCTTTAGTTCTAGCCGAGCCACTCGCCTTTGGTACAGGTCCATCTTCCAGGCCCTGGTCTCGTCTCTTGTCCACCGGTGGTTCAGCTCCACTCGTCCGGTCTTCCAGTCTATCTTGGGGTTTTCGAGTTTGAGCCAAGTGTGGCCGAAGATGATGTCTTCCTTGCCAATGCTGGCGACGTAGGCTCTGACAAATTGGGGTTCTCTGCTTATCTTGTAAGATAAGAGAGCTCTTCGCATGATGAGTGCTTCTTTGTTCGGGGTTCCATCCACGTTGAAGACAGGGATGGGTCGGGGAAGGGGTTCTGTCCGAAGTCGATGTTCTCGGACAAATCTCGGGCTGATGAAGATTCCTGTTGCGCCGCTATCGATGAAAGCGCGCGCCTCGACGTCTTTTCATCCCACAGTAATCGGAATGTGCAGAGCGCGTTCATTTCGGACTACTAGAATTACATGGGACAGTGAAACGGATATGGGCAGTGGTTGCGTCGGCTCACCCTGCCCCTTCAAAAATCCTCCATCGTAAGCTCTTCGTACAGCTCCCGCTTCTCGTCAGCGGAGAGTGCCTTGATTCTGGCGCGGAAGTCGTCCTTCCCAGATCCTCCCTGGTTCGGCCTTCCACCCCCTTGTCGTGCGGCCGCTTTCTTGCAGCAATCCTTGGCACTGTGGCCCTTGATGTGGCAGTAGAAGCACAGGTTCCCGTCCCTGTGGAGCTTTCGATCGGCCTCGTTGAGAACGGCTCCTAGTTCCCATTTCCTTCCTCCCGATGTGGAGGCGAAGGTTGATGTGACAGCAGCGGCGTCAATATCCATTGGTTCGCCATAGTCCCTGGTGTCTGTGACGACGAGAGCCCCCTGCTTGGCTGCGTCAGCATTTCATACTTCGTCGTACCAGGCCTTCATGGTGTTGGGTCGATCCCTAGTGACCCTTGTTGCGAGCGCAAAATACAGCTCCTTCGGGAGTCCTTTGACGAAGTTGGCATGGAGAGTGTGGTAGTCGTTCTCGACACGGTTGGTGCCATTGACCTCGGCGTCCTTGAGCTGAGCCTTTGATGCTAGCTGCTTGAAGCGGGTGACGTAGTTACCGAGGGAGAGCGCCGACTTCCTATCCTTCTGTCGTTCAGGCAGTTTCATCAGGATTTGATGTGCCTTGATTCGCATTCTGTGCTCAGGGAACGCCTCTTCCAGGGCGGTGACGAAGTCTGCCCAAGTGGAATAGACCTGGACTCCTCCTGTCGACTTCTTGTAGTACGCATCCGCCCATGTTTTCCCCAGATCCTTCCTCATCAGCGCTACAGTGAAGGCAATCTTTGCTTCATCGCTGAGTCGGGTGTTGTTGGTGGCGACGAAGTAGGAGAGGATGCATTGGACGAAGCGTCTGAGGTCCTCTGCCTTTCCGCTGAAGGGTTCGGGAGCGGGGATGTCAAGGCGAAGGGGTCGGTTGGCAGTTGACTGTTGGGATTGGTATGCTGCGAGAGCGACAGTGATGCGCTGATCGATGTCTTCTTGAGTGAATGTTGCCATAGGGACTTTAACCGGTGTGTTGGTTGGTGCGGGTGGAGCTGGTGGTAGTTCGATGTCTAGGATCTCGATGGGGACGTACTGAACTTCAGGGAGTTCGAGTGGTTGTTCATTGATGGGTGACTGCACACTTTCTGCTGTTTGTGTAGGTTCGACGTCGATCCGTAGGATGGTGAATACGTCTTCTGGGTGAGCGGGTGGGTGTCTCTGGTAATAGCTGACGAGCTGTTGATGGGCGACGATCTGCGGGTTGGATCCTTCTGCACGAACCCAGGTGCCGCCTCGGGGATAGATGGGAGTCCTTCTTGCAGTGGTGACAAAGCAACGGTCTGCCCAGTCGTACTGAAGAAGGGGAGATCCTGCGAGGGCTGGTAGTCCCAAGGGAACCGGGTTTACTGCGTTGTTCGACGTGGTGGTGGATGAGATGTTCGACTAGGTAAAACTAGGAACATAGCTTAGAAAGTTCGACCTTTTGATACAACGGCCTATACTCCTATATCGATGCCTGACTCGTAGATGACGAGCGAGGGCTTATGGACAGTACGTCGTCCTGAAGATCGAGCGAGGAAGTCGAGAATGACCACTACCCCAAGCGAGGAGGAGCAGAGACTTGAATGAATAACCAGGTCGAACTTAGGGTTCGACCGACTAATGGTACAACTACTTATACAAGTACCGACTGCGCACGGACCATCGTGTCTATGTGGTCGTGTTAGTGAACAAAGAAACGTAGTGGTACTATGCCGAGTACAAAGTGCGCACGGACCCCATTATGTAAGCTACATAATGTTCAACCTGTGGGTGAGCGCTAAGACAGGCGCCAGTATGGGTGCTAGTAGTACAAGGAATAGAACGGGAAGACAAATGTTTCAGACTTCCTCTCTTCAGGTACCGCAATCTACATGTTCTGCATCAAGAAAATCTCATCTGGTGGAATGAACACGCTGTCGTCGAGACGAGAATGAACCTCAGTTTCACCCTTGATGGAGAGCCGGCCGGCCAGTACCTACATATCCCCAATAACAAGTCATCCGACTTCGAATTTAATGTCCTAACATACTCAAATGCAAGCCTGGCTCCGTTGGCCCAAGGACAAGCACACAACTTGACGATCCAGTCGCACGCAGTCCATCTCTTCGACTACGCAATATACACGTGAGTTGAGCCCCGTCTCCTGCCTGCGGCTGACACTGAGAGTAGCTTTAGAACTCCAGACGAGGACGACACATCCATCTTGTCGAGTACTACTCCACCACTCGATTCTACACTTATCTCGAACAAAGTTACAGGTGTTGTTACCGCTAGTCCCCATAATTCTCTGAGGCAGCCGCTGTCTTCATCCTCCTCTGCTGTATCAGCAGCCAACGCTCCAAGCACCATGCCAGTGGATTCCATTGTAGAAGTGACAGTAGGTACCAGTAGCGGCCTCCTTGTGCTAGGCATGCTGCTGCTGATCTACCGACGACGAGTCAAGACTACACCTCACGATTATCGCATCACGCAGCACATTAAACCATTTAATGTTTTTCGACCGCCGGAGCAGTTGCAGGGTTTTGTTTTACCTTCATCATTATCGCACAGTTGCACCCTAGACTGTGTTTCATTGTCTTTACCAAAGGGGAAAGAATGCCTAACAATGCAGAAGGCAATGCAGGTGATTCAAGCACCTCTTTCCGTTGAGCCGGCATCGTCTTTTTCGCTGGACCTCCAAAGGGACGGCGAGGACGGGAACCTCCAGTGAGAGTGTGGCCGGTCGAACGACCGACTTTCATGGCATGCTATGTAGGCCGCGAAGCAGTCGACTCAAATGAGAGTCACTGAGATGATAGTGAGATCCGAGCAGCATGGCAGGCACATGGAGGATTGACGAGAGTTTGTATCTCAGAATTAACCACTGGCCATCCCCTTGTCCCAATCGCAAATGATTTACTGGAGCTGACTACTTTGCACTTACCTGTAATCTGAACTCATCACACGAAACGCCGACACCTAGTATTCCATCACGTATGGACATTGGCTTCATCGCATAGCAGAGCCAGATTTCTGCTTTACCTTGATAGTGGCTCTGCTGTTGTTCCACCAGGACCGGAGTCACGTTAAGCGCGCATTACGAACTTGCACCTTGCTTTGCTCAAGCTATTTCTGACTTCGCGCTTCTTTCACGCTCCCGCATTTCATCATCGACGATGGTGTCATCATGTTCAAGGGTGCGTAGCCAGCAACTGCGGTAGCCGCGCCGCCGGGGTACTAGTGATTCTACTTGTCAGTAGTCGGCAGGTTATCAAATCATTGGCAGGCGCGGAGGCAGCTCGATCCCCTCTGAAAAGCCCCTACACGCAGTAGACCCTGCCTCTACAGACTGCATGCTTCTCACTTTCTTATCGTGTCCGTCTATCGGGTTTAGTGGAGTCTTCTCACTAGCACATGATACCAATCCTCGTCGCCCTGCTGCTGCTGCAGCTTTGTTCCGCAGGAAGAAACATCACAATTGACGACCAGTCGGGCGACGAGCTCACTGGAATGGTACCATCCTTCACGCCAAGTAATGGATGGACACAAGGCGCGGGCTGCAACGGGTGTAAGCTCCACCCGAGTGCAGAACTTGCTTACGACCATACCTGGCATGACTCCACGGGGCACCCCAACCAACTTCCACCTACTGTACAGCTCCTGTTCAATGGTATCAGTATTTTTGCCTCTCAGCATTTTCTTCGTCTCATCCGTATTCAATTTCCAGGCACAGCAATATATGTGTTCTGCATTCAACCATGGAGTTCGAACCATGGAGTCACCACGAATATGAATCTCAGTTTTATTCTTGACGGAATCCCAGCGGGACACTACCTGCATACTCCTGACAAGACACTAGAGGAGTTTGTATACAATGCCACAACGTATGTCAATGCGAGCCTGGCCTCTTTACCTCCCGGAGTAGCACATAACTTGACAATCGAGTCGTATGCGGTCCATCTCTTCGATTACGCCATCTACACGTAAGTCTCTCTTTCAACTTGTGGCCGTAACTAGCTACAACTACCTGTCCAGACTATTGGATGAAGATGACAAATCAGTCGTCTCCTCGAGTGCTATAGCTTCATCTTCTGGGATCGCCCCTACTATGGCCGGGGTGAAGAGTTCTACTATAGCTGGGGTAGGAAACTTTACAACGACCGCAGCAGCAAGTACCATTACGATCAATGAGACACAACCTTCACAGACGACCAATGAGTCCGAGTCAAACCGCCTAAGCTCGAGAGACATGATTGTCGGGGCAGCCGTAGGCTTTGGAGGAGGTTTGATGGCGTTGAGCATATTGTTATTGTTCCGCCGGCGCCGACAGAGGCTGAGAGCTCATAACCGTCACCCTATCCCCGAAGACGCCAACCATGTGCGGGAAAACGTTCATCCATTTCATGGGTTCCCGGTACTCGTCCCCGCGTCGCCGCGCCCATTGCCCGAGACCCGCACGTTACAATTTGGACCTCCCCTACTACCTTCCAACAAACAACGCCGGTTTGAGACGGAGCAGATGCAGGCTTCCCAGGGATCTTCTTCCCTCGGGTCGACATCATCTTCCTCCCAGAGCTCGGACGACAACGAAAGTTGGCGCCGCCTTCTCAGGGAGTACAGCCTACCGGACGCGTCAGTGGGGGACACGGTGAATAGGACGTCAGTCGTATTCCCTCGGGCGTAGAACTATGTGAGATTATGAGAAATGGTGTGTCAGGTATTGATACCGCTTGTAGTCTTTGTCGGTGGGCTAGCAGCAGATCAACGAAAGGAGTCGTGTCTACGTTCACGGGGAGATCTCAAACAGCACACTTCATAGATGATCCTGGTAGAAACAGGGCGCACCCGCATGCCAATCTCCCAGTCTGCGCAAGAGAACAATATGATGAGCTATCAAAGTAGTCTCGGCTGAGAAGACAGCTCTACAGCTGTAGACGATCGTAACGGCCATGAGGATACCCGTGCCGCTACCAATCGCACCCACACGGTCAGCCGTGGCGGACAAAGGACCGAGGATGGTGCCTCCCAGAGCGGCGGCAGTGAGGACGACGCGCTTCAGCTCCTTGTACATCGAGCCCTCACGGCGGCCAGCCATAACCTACACGCGAAGAATTCCGTAAGCGCACAATCGAGCTACAAGTGAAGAAGTACACACCATCTGCTGGTCCTTCAGCTGCTTCGCAATATCGCGGGGACCGCTGGAGGATGAGGAGCATGACGGCCGAGGAGACTTCAGGCAGAATCGGGAGGAACGGCCGGACGAGGTTGAGAAACCGAACTAGAGCGTGGTTAGCATGTTGTGGTTCGCTTTCTATAGAAACATTGGGACGTACATCCGCTCATGGCTGGAGAAGCGGGTGGAAGGAGTGGGTGAGGATTGCTGGCTCGGCTCAGACACGTAACCACCGAGGTCATGAGGTAGCAGCCTGACTTTGGACTGTACGCTGACGAGACGGCTGTGAGGCCGGGATGTGACCGGTGCCCCGACGTCGTGCACACCGTCGTGCGGAGACGCCGCCCGTGCGGCGATCTTGTGTGCAAGAGCCAGACATACGCGTTAGCGGTGAGCAGCGCACCAAGGACCCGACGATGCTGACCGGCACTGACGGAAGACAGGGCGCGACGCCAGAGCAGCGGTTCTGTCCGCAGGGCACCAGTGAGTGCGCGAGCGACCAGACTTCGGGACGATGGCTCACCGATCCGTACCCAGGGCCCGCGGAATACGTCACTGTCAGCAACGTACTACGCGCCATGCACCATGCACCATGCACCATGCACCATGCAATGACCTTGGACTCGCCGTGCGCGCGCTCCACGTCCACCCGGACAGCCGCTGTCGACAGGATAGCGTCGACGCGGCCGCGCGCACGTCGGAGGACGCACGGACCGCACAGGCGAGCAAAGTGAGTAACGGGCTCAGACGACGGGCTGCGCGGGAGCATAAGACACGAAGGAAATCGCGGACAGGTGGGCGAGCCCTCGGTAACGGGTCGTCGCTCAGGATCTGGCCTGCCCTCGGTCCCGTCTTATAGCCTTGCCAGAGAGCGTCTGTGGCGGTCTGCGCCGGGCCATACAACCGGCAAACATGTTAGATTTCTGGCAGGGATCAAGACTGAAGTACAGATAGGCGGCATGGAGCATAATGGCGCTCGGCACCTCGGGGTGACGTGCTACCGCTACCTTCGATTGTCATCATTGTCATCAAAATTGCCTCCACAACATGACGGTTTAGGGGAAAGAGGGGGAACCATGGCGTACACGCGCCGAACACGTTGTAGCGGCAAGAATACTTTTGAATAACACATGCGCCCACAAACTGCCATTAAAGGCCAACGTTGAGGTCAGGTGTCTCTGTATCCGTCTATATTGGTGTAATCTATTACTTCAGAAACTTCGGGCCCTGCCGAACGGCGCTTTCATCCTCGTTATGAACCTTGAGCCTCGATGTAGCCTACCCAGCTCCAGTCCTTGCTACAACTCACACGCTTATCGCTACATTCCGTTTAGCCATGGCACATCCGCTCGTCTATCCGGGAAAATATTTCTTTTATCCCCTCGGGAATACACCTGCGGTATGCCTGACGAGAGACATCCCGCCAGAGGAGCCCGCAGATGTGCTTCTGTTGGGCTGCGGCGACCCACGAAGCGTTCTTTTCACTATTTTCTCTGAGCCTCGGAAAGGTGTGTACTTGTTCACATCGAGCAACATTGATTTGGATGTAACTAACATGTTACTCCGTAGGGAGACGTGCGCTTGATTTCACGTGTTGCGATTTCGAGCCGGCAGTTCTAGGTGAGTGGGGGCCTCCTGCGCCGTGGATGTACTTCTCATCCGCAACTCAGCACGCAATGTCCTTTTGTTGACGCTTGTTGCGGACAAACAGCTCTATACGAGCAGTATCTGGAATATCTTCTTCCACATCTACATCGACGAAGCCTCGCGTGAGGTCCTGGTAGACCAATGCAAGAAGCTCATCCAACTGTCCGATAGCCTCAATTCCTGGATGCAATCGCCGTATGGTCAGTTCATCGGGATGAGTACGGAATACACCCTATCCGAGCTGCGGCGCCACTGGACACTCTACGCCGACATGCCAAACCTGCCGTCCTCGCGGGTCAAACCAATTCGAGACAAGTTCACACAGATTGCCAAATCCCAGGCGCAACGGCTCGGGCAAAACGTGAGCACAGCACGCGGCGCGGGCCCCCTTATGTTCAAAGCGGTGGACGTCACGTCGCGACAGTACAACTCCTACTGGAAGACGGGTACTACATTCTCAGACCAAAGTCTCATCAAGGCCGCAAAGTTTTTCAATCCTACGTTTGCTTATTCGTTCGCTGGCGAGGGCTGCGCGGTGCACTACGGCACGGATCCGATGGAGAGTTTCCATCTCGTAGCTCTCTTCGGCAACGCGTGGGGGTCAATCACCGTCTCTGACGTTGTCAAAGCCGCCAAAGCTGAATTCAGCGACTGGTGCACAGCCTTCTCATCTGCTGTCTCCGATTCCTCGCGCGTTCTTACTGTCCGCTTCTTTCTCGCCGAAGCCATGGCCGCATGTCGCGCCCTACATGACTTCGTCGAGACTGGGACGCTCGAAACTACAGTGCCCGTCGCGCAGTGGAAGACGCAGCTGATCTTGTTCAACCAGGTAGAGTACGTGTCCAGAGCGGCCCCCGCCCGCTTCAACGTCATTGACACGTCGAACTTGGACGACCATATCGGGCTCCTGAACGTTGTCATCGCCGCTACCCCCCTCCTTGCACCACCTCCACGACCTATCGCATTGTACACGGAGTCATTGCTCGTACGCGGGGAGGATGCGACGAAGGAGTTCGCCCAGCGACTGTACGCAAATCTTACCGTCATGTCCTTACTCCTGGGTGTCACGCCAATCGACTACATATCAGGCTTCAGTTCGCGATCGAACACGCACGAGCTAATGCTATACGTTCTTCTAAAGGAAACATCGACTCAATTCCAACAGGTGACCACTTGGAAGCGTCCTGTATCTGGAGACGCGTATGCGTTTCGTGGTGGAGGAGGATGCCTGCCGCCCACGTTTGATAGTATCCAGCTTGGTACGCTCCTGTACGACATATACCACGACCTGTTCGAGCAGGAAGACGCAAGGCACTTCTGGCGGCTCAATCAGGGAAACGTCATGAACGCCATATCAAAGTCCAACATCATTCACTATACACGCGAGAGCTTCGTATTGTTCCTGAAGCTCGTGAGGGATCGTCTCTTCATCTCTCGCGAGAAATGGCTAGAGGTGATGGACCGTTTCATGGACCTACAAAGCGAGGATCAGACACTCCGGATGGACTCCTGCAACCTGCAGGACTTTCATGCGCATCTGCATCGTCACGGGATGTATACGCTTCCCTTCATGCTCGATGAAGCGCCCCGAGTCGGCCGCTTCGCGGACTGGCGATCTGTCACTGCTCTAGTCCGAGTCATCCTCGTAATTCCACGTGAGAAATTGTCTGTCCTCCACGATGTTTCCGATAAACTCGGCACACCTTTGCTACAATGCGATATCCGGGGCGAATGGTCGCATAACATTTTCTCTTCTGTCCATGTGGCTTTCGGTCGCGCTATACCAATGGGAACGAAGGCACGCCCCTGGGTCACGTTCGAGGCGGACTCAGAAGGATGGAGTGGCACATCATCCCTCGTAGCATCGTTTACCATGGCATCGCGGTATCTCACGGACATTGAACCCCCTCATCAACTCCGAGTGACAATCTCGGTTCGCAGCACGCCCGCCTCATCGTTGCTGACCGAGAAACTCGGCATTATGCTCATTATTCATGAAGCCAGACTGATGGACGAATCCGCAGTCTTTGTTCTCCCTGAGCACCCTCTACCCGCGAGGAACCAGGCTGGCGCGTCGGACATTCCGCAGTCACCGGACGTTACCGTTCTTGAAGAGCTTGGACGATCTAATCGTGTTGTCGTTGGACTCGACGAACAATGTGAGCTAGTTTCGGCGCTTACGTCGCGTATATCCATCGAAAACGAAGATGCAAAGCGTGTATTCGCTGCAGGTGCCCTGCCAACAGTCAAGCAGGTGTCCCCTTCTACGATGAGGCTCATCCTGGATGGACGGGTGCAAGACGTCATGTATCCGTTCCCCGTCATCGGTGGTCAGAATAAGCTTCGTCTGGCACGCAAGTCGTTATATATCGAGGTATGTCTTGTAGTACCTGATATCCGCATCGTGATCATCTACCATGATATATCCGATCTTAAACTTCATATCTCCTAGGTTGTCGTGCCAGTTTACGGACCGTTTCAACCGGAAGGCATGAAGCTCAATCCGTTTACTGTAGCGGCAATCCAGGGCACTCTGGATCTCTGGAGCATCCACCGGCTAAATCTATCTACCCTCCCTGTCCTCGACACCAAGGCCTCGAAACTGGCAGATTGGTTGAACCCACACATCGGCTCAATGATGTCCAAAAGGGAACGGTCTCTGCGCAAGAAGCATAAGGAGGATATACTGATGTATGTTAAGGACACCATCCATGCCATCCTCGTTCGAGCATCCGGTATCCAAGAAGGCCCCCCTTGTCGCCTGTTCGCTTTGCGCGATCATACCACGAAAAACAGCGACACAGTCATTTTCGTCGATAATATCAAATATGATATGCATTGCCACACTGTCGTGTGCGATGGCTTTGTACTGCCTCTAACCTCACACCTCCTTCGTCGACTGGAACAACCGTTCTGCAACCTGATCACGCCTGGAAGAATGGTCGACGTAGCAGTGTTCGGCGAAGAAATGCGGGCATGGAAGCAGCTGTTTCCTGCGCTTGCTGAGCGATGCCGCACGTCGTGGACCCATGGTCCCAATTGCGAATATAGATCGCAAGGACAAATTCCGTTGACAGAGGAGATGGAGCTGGATCCGCTATGCAGTTGCGGCAGAGGGAGAGATACCGAAGCGATGCAGGCGGTTGACGTATGGAGACCATTTGCACCCCATGTTACCCGGATTGCTATATCCCCGCTATTCGCTGTCTCCTACCTTGAGACAATTGGTCGTGATCCTGACGCTCACAGGTGCTTTGTGTGCAGAGGCAAAGGCAAGCCGAAGATCAGGGCTTGCAGTGGATGCAAGAAGGTGCGCTATTGTTCTGGGGAATGTCAAAAAAAGCACTGGAAGATACACAAATCGCAGTGTAAGCCCTAGTAGTCGACACCGCTATGACCCTGCCCCGACCAATGTCGTTATACGTAGTTCGGTTTTACTGTGTTGACTGTAGAAATATTACACTGCTTGAAATCATGCATTGGTTGATGTATGTCGCCACACATAAAACATGAATTGCTTTTTGTATGCACATGGGTACACAAACAATAGTCATTCACGCAGACAATATCACATTTGGCAGACAGACATTTGGCGTGTGTGTAACATAGTTTTAGCTTGTCCCCTCATGGGTTTAAACAAGAATCAAGGTAGATCATACGAAGCAAACCTTGCACTGCTCCAATGGTCCCAATTCTTGGCGTGTGATTTTAGTGAACGAGTTCGACAAAAACAGTCATACCCTTCATGATGCCCACGACTTGCGAAGATTTCGTCTCAGTGATGGCTAATTTCATGTGCCCACCGCACGTGGCCGGCTTCCCGTGCTTATCTGCATCGCAGAGACATGGCATCTCCATCGACGCAGACTGTCCCCGTAGGATGACGATGGTATGGTTCCGATCCAACCTAGGGCAAAAGAAAGCGAAGACCTCGTGAGATGCGAACAGTGCAATGGAGTCACCCAGGAACAATTTAGACTGAAGAGTGACTCACTGTATATGAATCTTGCTTTGCCATACAATTTCGTTTGCGACTCGGCGAATGAAAGACTCGTCGATGATTGATTCAGGGTTCATGACAACGGCATAGCTCCCCTTGAATTGAATATAGTTTCTGACAGGTGGTGCCGCTGGCTGACTAACAGGCGCTGCCGTTGTAGTATTTGCAGTGGCAGAAGCACCCACGGCTGTAGTACGGGTAGGATTCCTGAATGTGACAAACCGCTCTGCGAGTGCATTGACCAGCTCGGTACTGGTTTGGTACTCCTGGAAGGGAATATCGGCAGGTAAAAGAGAGTGACTCGGAATAGGAGTAGCAAATGAAGGATGAATAGGATCCATATGGTCAATCGGACCCAGTGACGCTTCGCGACTGACAGGGCTAGGTAGAGAGTGCCTCTGCTGGTCGGATGACTGGACATTTTGGATACTTAGAACGTGAGATGGAGGAACTAGTGTCGTAGCAGACGTCGACGGCCCACTCGGAGGTACCATGGTGAGGGTCTTTGACGAAGAGCTGGTGGCGGTCGAAGTGTGTGGCCCACTAGTCGACAGAGACATTTCAGGCGCTTTCTGCGGCTCAGCGCGACGCCATGTTAAACTTGTCGGGTCCAGCCACCATCCGCCGCCGGACGGTTCAGCAGTGTTTATGATCGCCTTGCGTTTCCCCAGAAAAGTTGAAGTAGCTGCTGTAGGCCTTACACGAGCCTCAGCGTCAGCGGTCGCGGCAAGTTCTCCGCGCGCGGCTGCGGGAGTGCTTGTGGCCGCGGTCGCGCTCACCTCAGCTGCGAACGCAGCCGAGGGTACATCGGGCGATCCGGACGCAGATGGGCCGGAGCCTGACCCACTGGCCTTTGCGACAGAGCTATTCGAGATATGCTGATATAAACGCGCACCCAGTTGCTTTGCACATGGAACGCAGAGCGGGTACGGGTATTCGCTCGCGGGAGGTAATACCATATCGCAATCTTTCGATAAGCACGTGCGTGGCTGGGCGGATACGTCTGCGGAGCCCGATGTTGCTGGTGGCTTCGGAACAGACACATACGCCGTTGGCGGTCTCCCGCTGGCACGCCTACGAACCGGGTCTTCCGTCCGAGACGATGAGGCGCCGCCCCTAGGTAAGGGCGCAGAAATTGCTACAGGTGCAGAGCCCAGTGAAGCGACGGATGCGACCGCAGCTTCCATCTCTCCAGCATTGGACTTGCCCTTGTTTTTCGGCGGCCGACCCCTAGGCCTCTTTGGCGGTGATTGTGTCTGTGTGGGTGCTATGTAACACTATTTTCAGTATTCATACACCTGCATAACGGCTGAACGCCTTACCTGGAACAGGCAGCGAATGTTTGCGAGGCCGTCCTCTTGGACGCTTGACGACCATTTCCGGCTCTTGTCGGTCCGCCTGGGGAATATCGACCACTTCTTCTACCTCTCCATCGCGCTCGGCTAGGCCGGCACTGCGCAGGCCCTCGCGTCTCCCCAGCGTAGGAACAGGCACTGGCACTGGCAGTGAATTCTTGCGCGGGCGTCCACGTGGACGCTTCATGGGGGTTTGTGTCTCCGAAAGATGAGGCTGGGAAACGTTGCGGGACTGGAGGAGGGTGGAGCTAGGGGTAGTAGATGCTTGTGCTTCTCCGCTTGCCTTCTGTCTCAGGCCTTGGTTGATGGCATCTACAACAGATAGCGAGCTGCGCGTAGGTACTCTACCCACTATAAGCCTCACGGGGGCGGATACAGTATCGATGACGGATGCTTCAGCGTCTAGCATTGTAGGTGTGCGTTTCGCGCTCCTGCTGGCCGATTGCGCCCGCGATGACTGCTTCGGCGCAGTGCTTGTTGGGACATCGCGCGTGCCCGCCACAGAGGGTCCAGGGGACGCGGCAGGCATACGCCTAGTGCCTCTGCTGATCGATTTGTTCCTCGAACTGTTTCCCTGCGCTACGCTAGGCGAAGGGCCAGGTGCTAAGTCGCCTACTGAGAGTGCTGTAGTGCGCCTACCACCTCTGCTTGCCGATCGTGCATTATACGAGGGCACTGGATCAGGAGAGTCGCTCCGCAAAGCAACCGCACTGTTACTAGAAATTGGCGTAGGTTTGCGCATCCTGCCTGTGCTGGCTGGCCGTGCGCGCGCAGGTGCTGGATCAGGAGACACATCACGCGAGTCGACCGCAGACCCACGAGCCAACCGCGCAGAGTTGCGCTGCCTGCCTCTGCTGGCCGATCGCGCCTTCGCAGACGGCGGAGGAACAAGATCTGGGGAGACATCGCGTGAGGCGGCTGTAGATCCACGGGTAAAGGGTGTGGAATTGCGCTTCCTGCCTCTGCTGACAGATCGCGCTGTCGAACTATTTCGTGACGGCCCAGACGGGAGATTTGTCGGCCTGAACGTGGTCCCAGTTCGTGTACGACCCCGGGTCTCTGGTTGTGGAGACTGGTCCCTGGGTGTCCTGCTCGAGTTGCGGCGTGCTCGCTTGTGCGCATACGTTCGTGTTACGCTACCGGATCTCCGCTGTGACGAAAACGGCGAGCTTGGGGCCTGCCCCAGGGGAGATGGCGTGCGCAGGGGAACCAAGATATCTCGAAAGGACTCTGTGTACAGCCGGTCAAACGCATCATTGTCAATATCGATGTTGTCTTCTTCTCCTGACGGCTCGGAGTCGGGTACATCGGGGGAATCTCGACCTGAAGATGAAGGCTCGCGCCTGATGCCCATCGCTGTACTTGGGATGGTACCTCGGAAGCCTGTCGAGTTGCGGCCAGGCCCAACAGAACTCTTCACGGACATCTCACTGGTCTGGGGAGAGGAGTGTTTCGTTTGAATGAAATGACGGCACGCACTGCCATATGATCTCGCGTACTGTTCTCCAAGGTCGATAGGGACCTTTCTTGAAAGTATCACGATGTATAAATCGCGGAGATTCTGATATTCAAGAGCTTGGGTAACTGTTTAGTGAAAGTCGACGACACAAGTCGCACTTCTCGTAAACATTGGACCTGATACTTGCACGCGATATGTCACAAGCACGCGATTGTGTCACAGCGCCTGTTACGCTGGCCTTCGGCACGTGACTCTATATGAGCACAAACCTTCGTGAAAATGGGGTTCCTTACCCGTGTACAATAATATTCATACTGCTGCGAATCTCAGCAGCTGCAGTGCTTGCAAATATGGCTGAACACAGATATGCGTGACTCATATTGCGTCGAGTAGCGCCGATGCTAGGCCCCTTGTCGCAGGCGACAGTAAAGGCGCGGCCAACTTGTTCCCCGCAAGATACGGGGTCTAACCTCTGCAGACAGGGCAAGTTTTCCCGGGAAACTTGGACACGCTCTAGTAGAGATAGTGTGCATGGACTCTGGACATTGCACGAACATAGACGAACATGGAGTAATGCCAGAACCTTCTGATTGTCCAGGAGAAAGCGACCCGAGTATCCATCGGAAACACAAACCCTGCAGCAAGGGGTTCAGAGCATGTCCGGGCTCCGGATAACGGGAGCCCTGCCAACTTGAACGCAGTCTGCCCTCACTGTATGCTCATTTTGCTCGCGGCTACCTAGGAGCTCTTTACGAGACGAGCTCATTAACAGGTGTCAGGCATAGACCAGTGGACTTGTCGTCTTGGAGTCGTCATGTGTTTTATGTTTAAGTTTTATCGAAGTGAAGTCGATGCAGACATTCTATGCATCTCCCCCCTCCATCAAAATCGACATACTGTGTTAACGCGCGCGCAGCGTCTGCGCTGCACATGCTGTGTTGACGCAACTCTGCAGGAACTGATACGGGCCATGTGGGACGGTCTTCGTGGCACGGATTACTCATCATTGCGCCTGCAAGGCGGATTTTCCACATGACCTCCTGGTTCTTGAGGCGAATGACTTATCACACCGTAATCTTTATAACGATGTCGTTGCGGGTTCGCGACAAGAAGTCGTACATAGGCTACTCGTTCCTGAATACCTAGGTGAAATTACAGAAATATTCGGAGAGGACGTCGAACGCCCCTTGCCCAGAGTCCAGGATACCCTCATGCATCGCTGGTAACACATTGTGTCTTGTGTTCCCTCCAGTGATTCTTCTGGCATGCCTTGGAACAATACCGGACCTTATTACAGCGACCACAGGCCATAATCTTCGGCTTTCCATTACCTCTGCATACAAAGCACCTGTGAGCACTCGGTTGGCGACCTACAGTTTCAAGGTATGAGACAGCGAAGAGGGGCGAAAGCGCGATACGGGTGACATGTGGCGCGAACGGTCTCCATACTTCGTTCCGGTTCATGCATGCGACATCCTTTCCCCTGCCGCAGCTGCAAAGCGGGTCCTCGTCGCTCTCTTCGGATAGCGGGATTGTTCCTTTCTTCCTGTATTCGCATTTATCGGTGTGCTGCCAAGAATACCGGCACCGCTCGGCCAACGCAGGAAGCAGTTGCTTCCACAATTTCAGCCCGCCCGAATAGAGCCGTAGGTGCGAGATCCGACCTAGCTCGACCAACCTTCCGAACGGCACACGCATTCTGCTCATGAATTCTTCTGTAGTCGGAAGAACATAGCCTGAGCACACGATGGTGTGGTATTGTAGGTCGTAATGGAAGGTATCGACGAAGATAAGTGTGTCGAAGTTGTTGGTAGCATCATCAAGCAGTGCTAGAAGACGCCGCGGTCTGCCCTCAAGATCCCTGTCCGCCGGGCAAAAAATGATTGACAGTGATTGCTTGAGATTTAGCATGGGATCTCCCTTATCTCCCTTATGGCCCTCTCGGAGCAAAGAGTGCTCACGATTGGACATCATGTTTCCAACGTGAGCATCAAGCCGTTGGATTGATCCTGGGGTCCCGAGCACGAGAGAGGGCATGCAGCGCAGATTTACGCGATGCATGCTCCAGAGGGCAAGCTGTCGATCGATGTCGATGACGGGAAATGGATTTAACTTCATTCCCTCGGGTTTGAATGGCCCATATACAGGAACCACGACCTAGACGTTGTACATGATGATCAAATGCGTCCGAGCAGCTGAAACAAGCACTATACCTCAATGTACCGTGATTTGCGAGCTGGGCGAAGCCGGTTCTGGCTTCCAATCACGGGAAACGGATACGTGACATATTGGACACGTCCGCAGAGCGTAAGCTTCATAGTGCAAGGAGATATCTGTACAATGCTTGGCTGAGCACCTTCACCGAGCTTCCACTGAACCACCTCGTTCTCGATGGACACTGTGCATGTCATCGTTGTAACGAGTTCGCACTGTTCATCGAGTGCTACGACTGCACGCCCTGACGTCCCAATTTCAGTGCGATCCCCGTGTACGACAGAGGGGGAAGAAGACGAGGAGATAGGACTTGAGGGCTGATCAGGCGGGGAATGTCGCTCAGGCACGAGAAGCACAGAAGATTCGTCGGTGAGGTCTGCACTATGGATGCAGAGGCTCTCCCCATGTCCGGCAATCGTCACACGGGCGGAGCCGCTGAAATTGGGTATGGATAAGGCCACCCTCTGCAGATGATGAGGCTGGAATTCTAAGTATCTCGCGGCAAGGATGAACGAGACTATGAGCGGGGATGTACCGTTCCACTCTTCCGGGTCTTGTTCGAATGAAACACGTGGGCTCTCCCTTGTCCCAGCCGTGTAAGCATGACCAAAGGCAGCATGAACGGATGCGAAGGAGTTAATTTTCTCCGGCCCGAGGATATCACACTGAAGCGGTGGGGTTAGATTATCTTGCGCGATGTCCGATAGTTTCGATAGCCTTTCACGGGGAACTATAAGGATGACGCGGACAAGTGTTGGAACTGAAGCCCATCCCGCAAAGCGACCTAGTTTCTGCGGTGGAAAAGAGAGGAATGGCAGCGTCACGACGTGATGAAGATGTAACTGCGTGACGAATTCTTGCCCGTAGACTTTATCCATCACCAGTGTCTGATCGGCTTCGAAGAGATCCCAGAACCTAAGCATAACCCTGTTCCACACTTCGCGAGAGATGCAGAGACGGCCTTTGACGAGCTTCAGAAATAAGACATAAGTCTCACGGTTGATGTGTATGATATCGGAGTGAGCGAGTGCCTTGGCCCGCCGCTTCTCCTTGAGCCCCAAGAGGTAGAAAACATCCTCTTTCTCGAAGAGGGCGTGGTAGAGATCGTACAGGAATGTACCGAGTTGGATGTGGTCAAAAACGGGGGGGAGCGCTGCTCCCCCGCAGCGATACGCGTAGGGATCCCCTGTCAAAGGAGTCTTCCATGTCGTCACCTGATGGAACTGTGCTGCGTCCGTTCCCACTGCAGCGTGCAACATCAGGTCGTGCGTATTGGAGCGAGAGCTGAAACCAGACACGTAATCGATCGGCGTAACGCCTAGTAGTAACGACATGACAGTGAGATTAGCGCGCAAGCGACGCGCGAAGTCCTTTGTCGGGTTTAGGCCTTCGAACAGGAGGGACTCCGTGTAGAGGACAGATGGTCGCGGTGGGGGTTCGAGAAGCGGCAGAGCAATGATCAGCACGTTGAGAAGGTCAATATGGTCCACTAAATTGGATGTGTCGATCACATTGAAGCGATCAGGGAAGCCTTCCGATGCATATTCTTTATTGAAGGCCATAGGCTGAGTCTTCCACTGAGCAACTGGAGTCGTACTACGGATCGTCTCCAAGTTGCCGTGCCTTTCGAGATAACTGCATACGGCCATGGCATCGCCGACGACGAGCCGGATAATGGGAACGCGGGAACTTGACGAGGCAAGATGAGAGATGAAAGCGGTGCACCAATCACTGAACTCTGCTTTCGCGCCTTCGACAATGTCCATCATAGTCACTGTTCTCTCCGAGTTTCCGGCAACAGCCGCAAGATGGAATCCAGCGAGCGGCTCGGTTCTGTGGTAGGCATGTCCACCCTCGCCCGCGAGAGAATAGACGAACGTAGGGTTGATCAATGTAGCCTGAGCGATGGCTGGGGAATCGAAGATAGTTGTTCCCGTCTTCCAGTAGTGGCTAAAGAGCGATATGCTTGGTTCTTGAATAAGATGCGTGAGGGGTCCCGCAGAGCGGGCGGCGCCCGCGACACCTTTCGTGCTTAGATTAAACTCAGCGACACGGGAGAACGCCTCGCGGATTGCTCGTTTGCGCGCCTCGGGTAGCTCATGCATGTCTGCATAAAGAGACCAATGACGCTGCAATTCGTTCCTGGAATAATCGCTGCAAAACCTGATGATGCGACCGTATGGACTGTCTCTCCATCGCTGTGCCGTGTCTGCAAGAGCAACGAGCTTGCGGCATTGTGCGAGCAATGCTTGATGTGATGCGTCGTCGAGATAAAGATGGTAAAAGATATTCCAGACAGTGTTCGTATAGGACTGTTGATCGATTACGAGCGTCAGGAGGAGGACATTGCGGGCTGTTTTACGCAGTGTCAGAATGTACTGAGGCCAGAAATGCGAACATGGAGCTCTGACCTAGCACCGCTGGCTCTGAGTCACAACAGGTGAAGTCAAGCCTACGTGTTCCTAGTAGTAGAGCCCTGCGATTGAGAAATCTCCCTTCAGGGTAGAGGTATTGCATACCGTTCGTAGGCTCATTGTAGATGGTGTACAAGACATTCCTCGGATCTCCACATCCAAGCAAGAGGATATTCCCCGGCTCTTCGGGAGCAAGATCCCTGGAGTAGCACACTGCAGCCGTGTTCCCAATGGGAAACCAGTAATATTTGCCAGGCCAGAAGAGAGGATGAGACATAGCGGGGGATTGTGAGAGCAAGGCAAGAGAAGGGGATCTCACGAGGCGACAAGCGATAGCGTTAGACGGCAGCTACCGGAGCACGAGACATCGTCCAATTTGACAACGGTCGCACAAGGCATTCCTTAACCTCAGCAAGGTAATGTCTTATCGGTGCTTGTTTGTTTGTCCATGTGGGCGTCATGAGACCAAAACGGAAATTGAATTGGAGCAGCGCGCAGTCCAATGTCGGCACACGGAGCTGTATGAATACCTCCCATCCCGAGAAGGTCTCGGCGAGAACTGACAGCATACTAGTAGTAGTCGGTGTATCAGTCAAAGCTGTGCAAATATAAGGGGTAGGGGGTGTCAATGTGAGGCGCTATATTCGGTATGGTCAAACGTACTTCAAAAGGGCATAATGAGATGCCTCGAGCCATGCCGATAGATGCTCTCTTCCTTGTCAATGAGTCTCCAGCTACACAGAGCCGGAAGCGCTCTAGAGCAACAAATTCGCGCATGAGGTGTACAACATGTCCAGCTTATTTATTTTGATTACGCATGCGGCAAAATCAATGTCAAAAGCAACTGCGCGCGGACGATGAACGTGTAAAAAATTTACAACGGCAGAGACGTGGTCGCGGTGGCAAGGGTACTTACACACGCGATTAAGTATTACGCCGCGCGCATGTACGGTTGTGACTCGATTCAGTCTGATCTAATCTAATCTAATCTCTCAGCGTGCGAGTTGAGACCTGAGGTTCGGACGAGCAGCCAGAACGAGGTGCAGCGACATCCTATGTTGCGCGGAGAAAAACGACATAAATGTACACACGATAGTTGTTCTCATCTCGCGGCAAACGGGCCACGGGCATAAACGCAATTCAACAGTTGGTCAGGGGAATGGCGGCGCAGTAGTAAAACCAAAGTTTGAGCCTCCGCATCGCCCGTCATCAGTCAGCAGGGGCAGCACAACGCAAGCGACTGAGTGTTTTACGACCTGGAGACAACGCCGGACGAGATGTATAGAAATAAAGCCCAAAAGGAAGACTGGCTCATGTCTATTTGCCGTGACAAATCAGTAAACGTGTCCGTAGTATGATGCACCACCCATTTCCACCAGTCCCTGACAGCGCTACTCTTTCCACCAGATGCATCCGCCGAAGTCTTCGCACTGACACGTTCCGCCAAGGTCTTCGGGGAGATTCTCCTCGCTCACATGCTCGAGCAGCACCTTCTTGTAGTCGGACCCACACACGTCCATCTTTTCCAGGGTCTGCGGTGCCAACCACCGCTTAAGCACCGACCAGATCATAGTGAACGTCGTAGGCGCATTGACTATTAAGAACTTTGCAGGCCTACATGGGGAGGCATGATCGCATCGTTAGAGCACAACGTAGGGCAGCACGGGACTCACATCTCGGGATAGTAGTCCTGCGAGACCTGGAAGGCATCCCTAGCGATCCCCTTCATCTGCCAAAACTGACCCAGGCTGTGTTACGACCACATCAGTAGTCATGGTGGTGGTGCGCACGCGGAGGCCAACGGGATTCACGCGCACCTATACCCCTTTAGGTCGATAATTAAGAAGATGCCGTCCACCTGCTTCCCCGCTCTCTTACTGGCAACTGGGACAACTTCCCGCGGTATGCGCTCTGCGCTCGTCAAGATGTATGTCCAGAAGCGGTCCGGTGTGATGGTGTTGTATAGAGCCGGTATATCTACTTTGCCATACCGTTGTATGCTAAGAGGACGCCCTTCCTTATCCGTCTTGTGAAACCACATCGGCCAGTACTGGAAGACTTCGCGCCGTTCTGGGAACTGGGCGCGCCATACAGCGGGCACGATGCTCTAATGAGCGTCACAAATCGCCAAATGTAAGGCCGCAACGCACATCCGTGGGGTTCATCTGCTCGTATAGCTCGTCAATGCCCACGCCGCACACCGTCTTGCGCCAATGCTGGCAGTCGGCCCACATTTTGGCCGCTGCCTCGACATCGAATTGACGCGCGTGCAGAAACCGGCTGGCAAGATAAGGCGCCGTGTTAGCTTGCCAACCCCCAGATGCAGAAGTCATGACGCACTCACGTTAGCGTCCAATCGTCAGTGCCTATGGTATCGCCATCGTGTATCAAGTCGCGCTCCTCCAAGTGCGCACGGAAATGCGCGAGGACAACCTGCTGCTCTTGATTAGGCGTCGGAGGCATTACGCATGGGAAGGGGCTAGTATGCGGCCGGGGGTCTAGAAGTAGAGATGCCTTGGGAAGCTGCCCCGGTCGTCATATACGTGGCCTTGACTGTTGCACATCACCGAGAAGCCTCGCGTGGGCCAATGAAAGCAATGGCTCACATCTGCTGTCGCTCGTCTGGTCGTCTGGGAGCAATCTGTCGTCGCACGCTCTACCCCGGTGCCATGGTACGAGTTGCAGATCGCAAGCACAGCCGTTATGATGTTCCCTTATGGGCGTGATAAAGAAAGAGAACTACCCTTTGAGGTTTGGGCCAGAGCGCCGGATGTTTACAAAGAGGTATATGGGACACCGATATCGAAAACGTGGGACCACCTGCGGTACTTGGCGTATTGCGATTCCATAATATCGTCGACGTGAATCAGATGGAAGTCGCGACGTTCGTGGCCTGTATCCCGCTCTCTCGGAATAGACGGCTTATGGTGACGCGCGACCGTCATGAGCATGGGAGTAGACCTCAAGATCTTGAGATAATGAATGAGGTAAATCGACGCGACAACATGCATGGTGGAACAAGATCGGGGACGGCGAAATGATCGAGATCGAGATTGAGTGCACACATTTCTCGAACCAGGGAATATCATACTTAGTATCGGATGGACCACACTGATCATGAAGTGTATACCTATCGTAAAGGTGCTATGCAAAAACTAGATCTAGAACACATGATACATATCATTATATATGTATAGCAGTCTCCAGGGGCGTACAGCCAAGACGGGCCTATCTCGCTCACACAGACACGATGCCTCAAGCGTCCGCGTCACGCGTCAAACATTCAGGGCTTCAGCTGCAGCCCACGCGTTCCGTAAAGCATCATCGATTGTCTGCTGCTCACTCCGCATATTCCGGCAGCGCTTCATCTACAGCCTCCCTTTCCCTCCTCCTGCGCTGCGCCTCCCGCATCCGCTCCAGCTCTTCCCTGAGGGTACGCAGCTCGCGCTGCAGCTCGGCCAGCTCCCTCGAGCGCACACGTGTCCGCTGCAACTGCAGGATCCGCCCCTCCGTCTCCTCGATTCGCCCGCGCAGCCGTTCGTGCTGGCTCCCAGCCCCACTTCCACTCCCACTCCCGCTCCCGCTGCTCGACGGGTTCGTCGACCCCGTCGTGTCCGTGAGCTCGAACGCATCGATGCGGCCCTCTGCGGCTTGTGCCTGCGGCTTCGTGCGCTTCCGCCGCTTCCGCCGTCTCCGGTCGTGCGGATCCTTCTCGGGCTGCTGCTGTGTCGCGGCCGGCGTAAGGGCGACCGTGGAGGGGGCGGCGGAGCCCACATTCGGCGGCACGTGGAATGGGTCGATGCGCGCTGATAGCTCCTCGTCTTGGCGGCGGGCACGTAGAGATGGTCGTCGGTAGAAGTACACCACCAGCAGGACGATCGCGAGGAGACCGACTACTCCTCCGACCACCCCTCCGACGATCGCGCCTACGGGAACGGCGGAGGACGCGCTGGTCGCCGCCGTCAGGGAGGCTGTGTGGTTGAGAGCAAGCAGAGAGAGGTGAGGTGATATTGGTACTGTTTTTGACATTGCCAGAGACGTTTCCTCTGCGAGTCTGTCAACTCTGGTATCGTCTCGTGTTGAATGGCTTGACATATACGTACGCACTCACGTACACACTGCACATCCGAACAGTGCCGCCGCGTAAGAATGCAGCAGAACGTTCCCATGCGTCTGCCCCAGAACCAAGTGGCGGCTGGGTGCCGTGCGAGCGTCTACGGGTTTGCAATGTGCAATGCTTTTCACAGCGGACGTCAGGTGGCCATACAGATCTGTTGCAGTGACCTGGCCAGCCAATCCGGAAGGGAGGCGCGTCAAGAATCTCGAATTTGGTGGAGGCAAGCGGCAAAAAATGCTGACCGGCACGAATGCTGATCCGTCCATGATGCATGAGTCCAAAACGTATCTCTGACAGAGCATGTGGGATACGATGTTACTCACTTGCTGCGTTATACTGCGACGTGAATGCCGGTAGATGTCCTGCCATGCATCCGTCGCATACTGCGGAGTGCAAGTCACCGTCTTTTGCAAACAACAGGGATCGACTCGGAAGCGATGCGCCCGCACATCCCGTTTCGTCGCACGTGCTATCTGGCATTCGATCACAGTCCACGGCGCACAGGAATAACGTTCCTGATACATGTGCAGAGATGGCCCGAGCAGTTGTTGGGAGGGGGCCGAGGGAGGATGAGAAAACGAGCAGCGGGAGAAGTGACTGCATGCGAGCAGGGAGGAAGGAGGCGGCATTGAGTACAAATACCTGGATCGCCTCATGAGGCAGCTGTCATGGGCAGGAACGACTAACCCCTGACTGCGCATCACGAAGAGACGTGGAGCCACAGAATAACAGGGCGCTCTCTTGGACAGAGTGGATAATGCAAACCTTCTTACTTCATGCGAAAGCGGTAATTAACCAACCGTGACAGGGAGACGGCGTTCATTGTTTTCTACGGCAATGATGAGCAAGGTGACAAGTGTGCACCGGAGGAATGGAACTGACTGGCAGGACAGGATAGCCACGTTTGTCTGATGGTTGCGGCGCGTGTGAAATAGCGCCCAAGGGTTTGGCGAGAATATGCGAGTTATACCATCAGCAAAAAGGTACGAAGCAAATAAGGTCCCGTGACCCATGCAAACCCGCACGTCACGGTCGGCGCATTACTAGCCCTTGCAAGACATCCCATGGCGTCACTAGTATGCTGGGATATTATTTGACATCAAACTGCTGTCTAAGTATTATAAAACACTACCAGTCTGGTCATACTTATAGAAGCGCTTACAATAAGGTGGCGAGCCTGCTATTCAGCATCCGAGGACTGGGAAGATCGGACTATTCGTGTGAGGTCCTCCCAAGACCGAAAAATACTTGCGGCCCTTTGGATGGTCATGGCAGAATCCTCGACCTGAAGCTCACTGGAGCCCTCCTGATATAGTGTCTCTGCAATAAGTGCATTTGGAGGGTTTCTGAATACCAGTGTACGTCTAATCTCTATTCGGGCGCGAAGCTGCTTCGCGTAGCGGTTGCGGGGTCTTGAGCGCAGAATGCCATACCATGCGATGGGTCTAACG